ACATTAATGTAGGTCACCATACGTACCAATTGCTCAAAGAATCTCACCGTATGAAAAAAAGTTACTAAAATGTTAAAATCTGCAAGGCACAACTACAAAGAGAATCTCGCCAGAGAGTGAAAAAGCAACCCTTACAAGCTTAAGCAACCCTAAACGCTTATATGCAAATGTACAAAGCAAACAGAGCGTCAGGAATACTCTTTCATTGCTAGGGGCAGCTTATAGCAACATCACTACCAATCCGGCGATATATGCTCATTATTGAATAACTATTTTGATTTGGTTTTTGTTTTAAAGCCCGAAGCTCCAATGCCAGCTTTTGAAAGTCGTTCTGAAGCAATTTATGTTATCGACTCAGCAAGTGATTCTATTAATATAGTACAAAAGTGTCTCGACCACCTTGATAAATGAAAATCAACCAGCTACGTAGGTTTACACCCGCGGGTCATTAATAAATGTGCAGCCACCTTTGCCAAACTTCTTTCGCTTATCTATAAGTGCTCGTTCGCGACTGGTGTAGTCCCCGATTTGTGGAGAAAATCGAATGAAACGCCTATTTTCAAGAAGAGGAGTAAACTAAATGTATCAAACTAACAACCTATCTTGCTCACATCCATTTCATGCAAAATGATAAAATAAATTTCAAATAATTTGCTAATGGCTTAATTACTTCAAAGCAGCACGGCTTTGTTCATCGCAAGGATTACGTCTCAAACCTGCTAGAAACTCGGGACATCATGACGGATGCCATTCATCGCAGCCATGCAGTAGACGTCATATACACAGACTTTTCAAAGGCGTTTGATAAAGTGCTGCATAAACGCCTTCTTCATACACTAATGGCCTAAGGCATTCAAGACACGCTCCTTAGACTGGATCTTAGCTTGTTTACGCAACCGAAGTTAACGAATGGTCATCAAAGGCATCACATCTGAGTCACTAGTGGCGTGCCTCAAGGCTCGGTCTTGGGCCTATTGTTCTTTGTAATTTTTATTAATAACCTGCCGGACAGCATCAACCATCATATCAAACTATATACTGACAAAAGTAAAATTATTTGCATAATTAAAAACGAGTTGGACAGCATCACTCTTCAAGCTGACATTGACAAAGGAGTGGAATGATAACATATTTGGATCATGCATTTTAACATTGAGATATGCAAAGTAATGCATTTTGACCGCGCATGTAACAAGTTGACGTAACTATTCAATGGCCAACGTTGACGGCACGAGTTATCCACTCGAAAAGATTAAAGTCAGACAAAACCGTAATTTAATCGTCTCCAAAGACCTATACATCAGACCACAAGTAGAGTCAGCCACATTAATTGAGAATAGAATGCTAGGGCGAATCAAAAAAACATTTCGAAGTCGCAGTTTTTATTTATGGCGCACATTGTATCTTATTTACATTCGTCTCTACCTTGAGTTTGCTGTACAAGCAGCATTTAAAGTCCAACAATGCTTCCTCGATATCCTCGACCTTTTATCAATGCTATCCTCGATATCCTCGACCTTTTATCAATGCTATTCCTCGAACAAGTCTAACATCGAACAACAAAAACAATATCATCTATTAAACACCTGTCCTATGAAAATAGAATCAAACAGCTCGGTCTAACAACACTTGAAGAACGCCGTAAAAGACAGATCTAATCGAGCAATTTAAAATCACGCGTCAACTCGAACTTGTCAATTTTTTCGTCCCGAAAAACTTTTAAACAGTAAAGCCAAGTATATTTTGAGAGGGCATAATCAAAAACTAGAATGCCAGCTTGTACAAAATTGTGAAGAACAACATGTTGTCCTATGGAATGCGCTTTCTCAAGCAGCAGTGAGCGCTCCATCAATCAATTACTGCTTTATCTGTAGATTCTGTGTGTTTTTTTTGTCAGTATATAGCCTGGTGAAGCACCTTTTCATCAAACGAGAACAGATTTATTGTATTTGTTATTTTTTGATCACTGAATAATAATAGATAAAATAAAAAACTAGCTTTTGAAGCTGGAGCTTATTATTTTATTAAAGATTTTTGTTTGTTTGTTAGTACTAACAAAACTATAGTTTTAGCTTGTTTTTTATATTTTGACTTATTTTGAATTTTATATTTTAAATATCTTTTGATCCGATAATCCACTTGATTAAAAAAATTTCAGGATATATTTATAGTGGTATTTTATTGTAGAGTTAAAAAAATCTCAAAAATTGGTTAATTCGTAAACAAATGTGGCATACCAAATTAAATGCAATTATATGTAGCAATTATATCTAATAGTATATGGTTTATTATTATTAAATCTCCGATTTTTGAGATATGCGATCAAGTCATGGGCGCCCGCAGGATTTTTTGATGTTTTAGATAGATCACTCCAAACTTAACTAGGTTCGTATCTATGCTAAATGAGGAGGCCTTGCAAAAAATTTGAACGGTGGAGGTCCGGGAACAGAAAAACCCTAAAACAACTTGCCCCTGCCTAAACGTGAGTACTAATGCAGTAAAATTTTCAAGTTCATTAAACCTTATTTAAATTTATCGACAGATTATAAATTTCGTAGAAAAATATTGTAAATTACAAAAGTTATTACAATGCAAAATTTAAAGCCATAACTTTTGTAAATTTTTTTGGGAATGACAGTATATTTTTTTGGGAATGTCATAAATTTTTTTGGGAATGACAGTAGTAGAATACAAGTTGCTGAGCAGTGATCCAAATGGCGGACAAAATGAAAAAAACTTATTTTTATTAATAAAAATATTTCACAATTTTTCAAAACTAGAATGAAATACTAGTTAAATGCAAAAGAAAAAAGAGAAGAAATGACAACCTTTCAAAGTTTTAACAAACTTGTAAAAAAAGCCGTTTATAATGCATTATATACGTTTATAACGCAGATTCAATCTGCGTTATAAACGTATATTATGCGTTATAAACGGCTTTTTCCCAAAAAAATTAAATTACTTATTAAAAAAATTAAAGCGCTTATGATTTAATATAATCCCTTTCTTTTAACTCTTTTTTTAATATAATCCTTTTTTAATATAATCCCTTCATTCTAACTTTTTTTTTTTCAGGCATAACATTCCTTTTGCTATACTGTAAAGTAGTTCTTAAAAGTATATTTTGAAACTAAAAACAGGCGTCTGGAAATTACATTAAAATTCATTACATAGTAGCCATACAACTAGGCTTTGAATACAAATGTGTGGTCTCGAGTACCAAAAATCTATATTTTTTTAAAGAAAAATAATAAAAATGGGTTACCTATTTAGCTGTAATACATTTTAACAATGGCAGAAATAGTATCCTTGTCATCATAGAAAAATTCGGAAAGGAATAGTTTTGCGCCGAATTGCAAATAACTGAATATTTCACGTGTATAATGCATAACCCAAAAAGCTAATGACTATGTAATAAAGCAAAGAAATCCATCAAAGTAAAGCAGAAGGGCTACAGTGACATTCTAAAAGAAAAAGAAGCTACAGAAGGCTCTTATGCTACAGAAAGTTAATTGGATTTAAGGATTGTTTTTTTAGTTAAGATTTTTACTTTCTAAACTTTCTTTTATATTTTTCTCAGTTTCGCATTTCGAGCATTTTTTAAAAACTTAAAACTCGATAACTTGATATTGGATTGAGTATTCGTTTCTAAATTTTCAGTATATGTTTACAACATATATGCGCTTCCTTTAGCAATTAGAATTTTTATGAACCACTCTAAATACTGATTTATAGGCATAAAAATTTCAAAACATTTCACAAAAACTATTGAAAATTAATAGAATTATTAAAAAAGTTAACTTTTTTTTTCTAGATTCGCTGTAGAGTTCTCTAAAATTTAATTGAAAACAGATCAATTTGCTGATTTTGCTGTTTTTGTGACACCTTTTCCAAATTATTATTCAACCAAAAAATTTCTTTTTTTAAAATGAACGTGTCAGTGTTTCCAAGAAACAAACACTTCAACTTAGTAGATTTTTATTTTCCCTCAGAATTATCTTTTTTATATTAACACCACCTTAATAATATTAAAAGAAAAAATTAAATATCTTGTTGTACAAATTTTAGGATGAGAATATCAACAAAGGTAAACTGTTTGTTCTTGGAAACTGTTTGTTAAAAACTTCTTTGCAAAAGATTTCTCAGACTATTTTATATTGAGAAAACCATTTAAGTGGTTAAGTACTAGAACTTCAAAATTTTCAATCACAAATTACAGTGGCGTTCCTAGTTATGGTGTTACCCGGGGCGGCAAATAGGGTGTCACCCATATATTATATGTAATTATTTTTATATACGAAATTATTAAAGCAGTATTTAGAAACGTTGACACATGTAATTTTAAACCTTGTTTTTGACAATAATAATTTAGTGTCTATAACTCTTTATAAATAATTCTCGTCTATAACAGAGAAAATAATTATTTGAAAATAAATTGTTGCTAAATAATTATTATCTCTGTTTTAGACGATAATAAATTATTATCATCTAAAATCGTCTAAAATTAGCTTTATTCTTTTATGTGCTTAAAAAAACAGTAGTACCTGGATTTTATTTGATAGTAAAGTATAATAATAAAATAGCAAACCTACTGATTTTTTAACTTCTTATCTGTGAAAAATAAGTTAAACTTTCACTTAACCTTTGTTAAATACGCAGATTTGTCCTATAAATGAATCTATGCCACTGATGTGTTCATGTATAACAACATATTAATGTACTTAATTATTTACTATCTGTATGAACTAAATATATTTTTTAAAATAATATGCACAAAAGTTTGAACTTTGTATAGTTTTTATTCACTGTGCAATCACTACACTAATTTTTAATCACAAAACTAAATTTTTCAATCATTAACCTAAATTTTTCAATCACTAAATTAATTTTTTAATCACTAAACTAAATGTTTTTATCACTAAACTAAATTTTTCAAACACTAAACTAAATTTTTTAATCATTATATAATTATTATCCTAAATTTTCATAACACTTAACCTTTAAAATGTTTCTTTTCCTACTTTTAAACTTGCAAATTTATCAATTACGTTATCAAACTCAATGCTTTTGACAAACTCACTCTCTATATATAATATCGCAAGATCAGAAAGTCTTGATTGGCCCATAGTTGATCGTAAATAATTTTTTATCAGTTTTAATTTTGAAAAGCTCCTTTCCCATAATGCAACGGACACGCAAATAGTTAAGAATAATCTTAAGGTGAGAAAAAGCATTGGAAGCGTTTTTGTGAAGTCCCATTCTGTGATGAAAGTCAAAATATCTAAAGCTGTCCAATTTTTAACTATTTTCAAATTATTTCCTGCTGCTTTAAGATGTCGCTTGAGTCGTGGAATTTCCAAAATTAGTTCATCATGGGATATTTCATGATAAAATGAAGTTAATTTATTAGTAGATAACGTCAAGTCTTCTTCATTATTATGTTCAGAAACTAAAAATTTAGCTTGGACACATTCAAACATATCTAAAATATTTTTTAATGGTTTTGATCTTGCTTGAAGTTCAACATTTAGACGATCAATACATTCATACATAGTTCTTTTATTTTCTTCTTCTATTGTGAGTTTAGTATGACATACCAATTCTCCCGCCATCTTCTTTCTCAATCTTATTCTTCTCTCAATTGGAATATCGTGTTCTTTTGATACACAAAGTGCTTTATTTAGTGCCTTGTCAACTACATTTTGCCTTTCTTTGTTTAAAAAAAGACTAAGAGCTTCTATTTTTATTATAACTTTATCAAGAGATAGACCTTTTGTCTGTAGATAAAAAATGCCTCTTTTATTTCTACCTTTTTATTTTCAATTTTAATATATCTGATCACCTCAGACATTTGATCCACGTTAGATATATCAGGAGTGCTATCAAACATCATGCTAAAATATCGCGCGGATTTTATTTCTTCAATAAGTTTGTCTTTTACGTGACTTGCCAGAAAACTGATAAATTCATTTTGAATTTTTGGGGAAAGATACGAAACCTTGGAATAACTTTCCCTTAATTTAATTAATTGCTCCTTTAATATAGGGTCATACATTGAAAGCAAATCCACTAATTCCTTTTTAATTCCAAAATTTGCCATTTCGTGGACATCAGGAGGATGAATCGTCTTTGAATAAATTACCTTTATTCAAAGACGATTCATCCTCCTGATGTCCACGAAATGGCAAATTTTGCTTAGCAAGAAACAAAGTTACATCTAAGAGCCTAGATAATATGTTTCGCCATTTTTTCTTTTCATTTTCTGTAAAAGAAATAATTTCGGCATCGATTGTATTATTAGATTTTAAATTTGTTTCTAGAATCTTCCATTTTTCCAAAAATCGCAAATGATTGTCAGATGATTCATGCTCATATACTTTTGGATTTAATTTCCACCATTTTTGAAATCCAGTGACGAATTTTGATGTCAAATTGGTAATTACTGGCAAATAATAGACAACAAAAACAGTATAAATTTCCACTGTTGGGTGAATATACCATCCATGAACGTAAAATTTTTTCACCATTTTTCATTTGTTTATAAAACCATTTAGAGGAAAGGTGACCATCATGGCCTTTCATTTGAGTGACATTTCGTTGTACTACATTAAATGGTCCATCTTTGTTTTGAAATGTAGAACTTCCCTTTTTAATAATCTCAATTCGAAGATGGTCTTGAAGCGGTAATTTCCAAAAAGAGACATCAGAAAAGATTTTAAAGTTAGTTTTTCCACCATGTTTCTCTAAAACGGTAATTTCTAATACTTGTGGAGATTCAGCTTCATTTTCTTGGTCGTTTTTTTCCATGTCAACAGTGAAGGTGCTATTATTAGAAGCTTCATTTTCACTTTCTTCTACTACTAATCGAGCTTGTATCAAAGTACTATCTTTTGAAGAACATTGGCCTTCATTTGGGTTATCTATGTATTGAAGTACTGACCCTGCATATTTTTTAAGGGGTTTAAGTTTAGCTTCCTTTAATTTTCTTTGTTGATGTCCACTTTATCTCTACATTTTATGCACCCTACGCGGCATTGTTATACAAAATATTTAAAACTTTAAACTAAATATTAAAACAAAATTTTAAAACTTAAAATTTAAGCACTAAAAACTTTTTAAATTAAATGGTATTTATTAGGCACTAAAAACGAAAAATTAAAACAATTAATAATATACGATATTGTTTCAAAATGTATCTATTACAAAGTCACTATAATTTATGCACAAATTTTATAAAATTTTCAGTAATATGTAATATGGCAAATTTTTAAAATTGTTATCATAAACAAAGAATATGTTTTCGAATGTTTTAGTTCGAATTTGATGGTTTTGATATTTTGCAATGTGATGCAGTATTAACATTGAAAAAATATACGAATAAGACTAAAAAAGCTGATAAAGTGAAAAACGGTTAAAATCGCACCCACACAAAGTTATCCAAATCCAAACAAAATTTGAGTATGTTTTGATTATGAAGAATTTTTTAGACATTAATTATTTTTTTTTCCTTTACTTTTTCTTGAAATTCTATTTGCTTGGTTATTTAAGTTGAAGTTCATTGTAAAAAAAAAAAAAAAAAAAAAAAGCATATGTATTGTAAATATTTTATTATATTTGTATTTGGTTTATATTTTATTATATTTTGTCAACGACAAAAATGGGGCAAGATGATAAGACTATTGTCTTCTACTTGCTCCAGTCATATATTTCACGGTAAAATGTTGTACAAATTTATATTAATAATGACGAAATATATATATAACTGACTAAAAAAAATATATATATGTATAACTAAGTCTTTATTTCATTTTGTTTATATTATAAGAAAAAAAGCTAAGCGATTATATTTTCTAAATAACGATAACTATATCTTTCAGCATTCAGCATTTCGTAGATCGTGTAAATAAATACCCATTTATTTTTTTATGTAAGACTGTTTAATTATAAACCAAAATAAAATATAAGATATTAATAAATTGGGTGTCGCCCAAAAGTGGATGACACCCGGGGCGGTGAGCCCCCCCCCCCCGCCTTCGTAGGTACACCACTGCAAATTAAAAAGCTTGTAAAAAAAAAATTAAAAAAGATCAAATAGAACTCTTATAACTTGTGGCATGTGACTTGTGACTTGTGTCAAAATTGAGGTGGTCATTAAAAAGTTATAAAAAATTTTTTAACTGAGTTTTAAGAAAGAAGAAACTACTTCAATTAATTTGTTCTCAACTGGAAACGGCTCTACGCGAATAACAAAAATAATTTCAATATTCTTGTGAATAATAAAATGACTTTTGTAATTGGCCGTGGCGCAGTGGTTAAAGTGCTTGCTTTGTAAGAAGAGATCCAGGGTTTAAAGCGAGCTTTGTATATTTCAGGTCATCGGTAAGAAAGGAGGCGTGAACTTTCTAGTTAAATGCTTTTCCACGGTGCTCTGTGAAAAGACCGTTATGTCTTCCTGGAACACCTAATACAAAATTTTTTTTTCAGCAACAGATTATTAAAGTTGATAACATAAGTTTATATGAACAAAGAGATATAGCTCAATAATTTAACAAACATTTTACTGATATAGGTCAAACACTTTCTGAAAAGATACCTAACACTAAATCTTTGTCTACAGACTTTTAGTGGTAAATACATTTGTTCAGATGAGTTATCATTGGAATTAACGTTTGAAGAATTTGAAAAAGCCTTCAAAATTTTAAAAAAATAAAAAAAGCAATTGGAGCAGATCAAATTAGTGGAAACGTGATCATAAATTGTTTCCAACAGTTAAAAGATATTCTTTTTAACATTTTTAGAGATTCTATTCATCAAGGAGTATTCCCTGACCAATTAAAAATTGCAAAAATTACTCCTATATTTAAAGATGGGACAGGGCTGTCCCGAAGAAGGAAGAGGTTGTAAGGGGTGTCCCCCAACAAAGTTATTATATAAGCAATTGAGTCGGCACATTGAGCAAGTTTTGAACTATAGTTGGCAAATGTTAAGGACCTTTTTTTTGTTTTTGTGTTTCTAGTTGGCATACACCCCCACCCCCATTGAAAGACCTCTTCGGGACGGTCCTGAGAAGGAAACAAATCTTTTATCAGTAGTTTCGCCCAATCTCGTTTGTAAGTAATTATCGCCCAAGTTTTTTCCGCATTTTAAAAAATTTTAGATAGAATTATAATCAACAGAGAACACAAATATCCTAATGGAAATAAATAAATTTGTAACAATCAATTTGGCTTTAAAAAATATAATTCAACTGAACATGCAATTATCCAATAAATACGTGAAATCTCAAAATCATTTGAAAATTCACAATATAAGTTAGAAATTTTTATTGACCTATCAAAAGCTTTTGAAACAGTTGATTGCCACCTTTTTGATTTGTAAACTTGAATACTACGGTTTAAAAGTTACTTATCAAATTGAAAACAATATGTTTCAACTAATGACGATTATCAAATCACTTCTCTTAGTATATAATATATGTAATAAACTAAACTTGAATAAACTAATCTTTATCTTATTCAATTCGCTTTCAAAAAAACAATTTTGCCATCAATATTCCCTCAAATCTTTATTGATCAAATTGAAATAAAAACAGTTTCCGTTACCAAATTTTTAGGTGTTTATATTTAGTATTTTTTATCAAAATGAGAATTATAGATATATACTAGTTAAATACAGAGTTGTTAATCCTTGGCCTTGGCCTTGACCTTGGTCTTGCCTTAAGGCCAAAAATTGAGGCCTTGGCCTTGATGCTGTTGGCCTTGGCCTTGGTCAGGGCCTTGAAAATATTGGCCTGGGCCTTGGACTTGGCTTTAAAATGTTTTCTTATTGATTTTGTTGAATTCTGCCCATAACCTTGGTTTATTTTTACAAAATGTGGTTTTATTGTAACAGCACTTGCTACTTACAGTTGTGTTAATAGTTTGCCTTAACGTAAGACAAAAGTTAAAGTCTTTGGTCTTGAAAATGTTTGCGTAGGCCTTGGTCTTGAAACTCTTAATCTTGTCCTTGATCTTGTAACGCGTAACCTTGGCCTTATCCTTGGCCTTGTAACTTTTGGCCTTGTTAACAGCTCTGGTTAAATGTATTTAATGTTTTATATGTTTTGTATATATGTGTAAAAATAACTTATCCCTATCCGTCTTTAAAAATCTTCTTTCTTTAAAACCTATTAATAAATAAATTTTGAGAAATAATAACTATTTAAATATACCTTTTTGTAGCACGAATTTTGATCAATTTTATATTGCCTATCGGGCACCAAACTTTAGGAATAAAATTTTTTCGCCGAATTTTGATGTTGCTTTACTTTCTTTTCATCTTTTTTAAAAACTCTCAAAAACCGTATTCTTTTGTTAGATAATATATTGAGATATATTGAGATCAGTACGATTTAGAATAATATTTATATACTTATTAACGTTTATATTAGGTTTATTTTTACATATTTTACTTTACAAATTTATTTAAGCTTGTTTAAGAGGTTCTGACGACAAGATTTTTTGTGATCTTTCAGATATCTTGTTTACGTTTCTTATATTACTTGTCATTGTAAATTTGTGAAATAATATTTTTTTTTATTATTATTGGTTATATAAAGTTGTATAACCACAAACAAATGTAAACAAAAAGTAAACAAAACAAAACAACAAAAAAAGTTTAAAAATAATAATAAAATAAACAGACTTGAACATCGAATAATATCAACCATGACACCTATTAATGCCAACTATTACAACAAAGCAAAGTATGAGCCAAAAAGCGTTTTTGATTGATTTGTTTCTTTACCAAAGGTTTTTTTTCTGCATTTTTCCTCAAGATTTTTTGCATTCAAGTGGATAATAAATAAATAAATAAAATTTTTCTATTGTACATCTTTATTTATAGTCAAGACATTTTCATTTGGTTTAATTTTATAATGGCTGTTGTTTACTCCATTTTTTTAAACCAACACCATCTTAAGTTAATAGAGCTATTAAGTTAATAGAACAAAATCTTAGAGCGAACTATGTACAACCGAATTTTGACTGTAGGTGTAAATACCTTTAAAATCTGCTCATAGATGATATAAACATAAACTTTAAAAAATAACTCTTATTAAAACCCTCCCTACTTATTTTTACTTGTTATGAGCAACGAAACTGTTTCTCAAAAATAATAAAAAACTACATTATTAACCGATCCTGAAAATTAAAAAATATAAGCTTACTTAAAAATAAAAATAAATATAAAAATGCCCACCCATCTATTAGATTTAGAAAAAAATTCCAACCCACCGGTATATTCCCACCCCACCTTGTATAAAGCACCTGAGCATTTTTTAAAAAAATCTTTAGTTATAACAAACGACAGTAAAAATAACCATAAATGTCGCGATCACAATTTAACTATTTCATTATCTGTCAGTGAAATTAATATATATCATGTTTTCAAAAATCCATTTTTGAAAATTGCCATTCATATTTTTGATGCTAAATACTACAAATGAATGTTGTTTGTTCGTTTTATTAATTATAATCACTTTTTCACATTTAGAAGAGGCTGTCGTTGCCGCTGCCGCAAAGATCATACAGTTTAAAATATAATGATTCAAATTTCATATTTACGTTAGTTTTATTTTGTTTGACATTAATTCTTTACATATTGATTCATATATAATTTGCGTTAAGCTTCTAAAAGCAAAACAATCAAACCAATTTTTAAAAATAACTTTACAGTTCAAAGTCTGTTTTATAAATTAAGTAAAAAAGGTCAAGTATTAAATTTTTTCTTCTCATTTAATAAAATTTATCATAAATATTAATAAAGATTTTTGGAAATACTCACGTATTTACTTTTGAATGTCAGGATTTTCAATCTAAAAAGAAAGTCGGAAACTCCGACTTTAAAACTTAGACTCAATGTTAAGTTTAAATTAAATGTCAAAACTTCCTGTCTAAAAATAAAATTTCCTGTCTAAAAAAGTAACAAATAAAACTAAACTTTGCTGCGTTTCTTTTGCCGCCTTGGAAGGATATATTCGCTATATTTTTCTTTTAAATAACTTTCTAAAATAAAAATAAAAAATTTAAAAATTTCTAAAGAAGTTTCTCTTTCTACTTTATTTATATCTTATATTTTTATTTTTATTTAATATATAAATAAAAATATAAGATATATATATATATATATATATATATATATATATATATATATATATATATATATATATATATATATATATATATATATATTTGTGTTTATTAATGCGTAACTTACGTAAATAGTTAAGACGTATGGATTTAGACAAAAAAAAGCTTCAAGCTTCACCTGCTTTAAAAAGATTAAAGTTAAATTTATGATTTACGATAAAAAAAATCAATTAGTGATTAAATCAAATATAATTTATCTTTGAGTTTCTAATTTAGGACACTCTTTAATGTAGATGATGTCATTAACATTTGAAATAACTAAAAAAATTATAACTTATACTATGTTCACTTTTTAACTATATTTTATATAACACAATCAGAACTTCGTTCTTATTCTATTTTAATTATGCCTTATTTATTATTATTATTGCTTATAATCAATAATATTATACTATTGATAAACATTATATATTTTTATAATCAACGTAAAGATTTCTAAACTTATTTATGGCTTCATTGTTTATTTAATATTTATAGATAAATGGCTTCATTGTTTATTTAACATTAATAGATAAATGGCTTTAATGTTTACTTAATATACTCTGTTTTATAATTCCTGTTTACAATAAAATCTTTGATACTTATTTATTTGCTTTTTATATATATATATTTTGGTAGAAAAATAATTAGTTTTAAAAAGTTTTTTTTATCTTTATTTTTAATTAATATTTTTATAAAGATTATGATATGATTTAATAAAATACTAAAAAGCAAGTAAAATAAATGACACGAATATAATTATGATTTTAAGCGATTAATTATAGAGAAGATTAAAAAAGAAATGTCAAAGGGTGCAATTGATCCCATCATTTTGTTTTCTTCAAAATGGACGCAATTTTAAGCGAACTCTTTTGAGTACAAAGCTTAAGTAGCTTAACGGAGGTGTGTGATGCAAATAATTAAAGTTCAATTGAATTTATTACTGAAGACGGAAGATTTTTTGATTATCGCAGTAACCTTGCATTGTTTTTGTGTCGAATTGTTTGATAAATTTTTTACAGGTAAATTTTGTTTCCACGGGCAGATGATTTTCTTAGCGTTAATATTACTTTTAAACAGATAACAATTTTAGCTTCTAATGCTACAAAGAGCTATTGTCATAAACTTTGAACTAAAATTTTAAGTTCACGCAATTGTTGACGCTTAAAGTGCATGATCAAAATCGGTAAATTTCTTTTTGTTAAAACAAAAACAGGCGAAATAGGGTTCTAAATGAAATGTTTTCATTTCTTTTAGGATGATGCTTAATTATACCTTATCGTGATCCGTAATATTATATCATTTTATTTTAAATTTTATATCTTTAGAAATAAGGTTATTAAAAAAAAAAATTCTGTTACTTTTTTTAAAAAAAAAAAAAAAAAAAAAGACATGTTTCTAAGACGTATCTTTGTAACGTTTAAAATTAAGTTACTAATTTGACGCCAAATTGTTGGGTAATTTATTTGCTCTGCTATATTTAAAAACGCTACTAAATTAACATTAAGTAAAGAAAGTTATCAAATTTAGTTAAATAAAACGTTTGTTCTATATTTTTTTAGTAAGTTATAGTTTTAGGTAAACGCACCAACAAAAAATTACACCATAACAAAATAAAGCTGTTTAACTTAAAAAGCTTTAAAAATATTTATTTTTCTTACTTTTTTAAAATCTTGATTATTAGATAATCTCAAATTATTTAAACGACATTTTCATTCGGATTTCCTTAAAAAGCTACTACGTAGAAAATCATTGAATTAGAACTATTTGTATTTATTTATTGTTTCTACTACAGAAATTAAGTTAAAAAATCTCTCAAAATTAGCATGGTCACTATTGTAACTTTTTTGAAAAAAATTATTTTGTTTAAACGAAAGCATAAAATAAATAATTTATTTCCTGTATTTGGATAAAATAATATGTAATATAAACCTCATAAAAAGCAACTATTTAATTTGCGTTAAACGTTAAACGTTGCAAAAACATAGTTCAAAAAAACGTTGCCAAGACCAAGTTAGTTTAAACAAAAGTTATCAAGAAATTTTCCCGATTATTATTTATTTGTTAAACTCCGCTATCGGGCATTTATATTTTTGTGATTTATACTGTGGATTTTTGACTTGGCTTTATTTATACTCAAAAGAAAAGTAGCTTATTTCTATAATTAACATTTAAAAAGCAAAGCAAACAAAAACACGTTATCACTTGATTAATACAGAGAAACGCAATCTAACGGAAGTTGCAATAATTACTTTATATTTAAACATAACAGTCGAAATGATAACTGTTTGACTATCGATGGTATACAGTGATAAAACTATTAATGACAAAAAATAAACTTTTTAGTACAGACAAATTATAAAAACATTTTTTAGTTTAAAATAATTTTTCAACCGTTGTTACATAAAAATTACGTTGTCACGCTAAATTTGTCAAAAATGTTTTATGAAGAATTTCGTCTTTCGCTAGTTTGTTTGATGGTACAAAACGAGTAGGTAAACAAATAGAAATATGTTTTAAAAAGAACCTTTCTTTTTGTACAGTGGTAGGACTCCAAGTGTAGGGCGTTGGGGCCTTACCAGTAAAGATTGGTTCATGATATTCATATATTATTACTGTTTTTATTACTATTACTAAATATATATACATATAAATATATATATATATATATATATATATATATATATATAAAATTTTTTTTTCTTCATTCGTTGGTTAAATAAAACAAACTCTTAGTTAAGTGGAATTTATCAAAGAATTGTTAAGTTGCTTTTTAATAAGTTGTACTTAATAAAAAGCATTATGAATGGATCAGAAATATGGAATGTTTATAGATGTTAAAGTGTTTTTGTTTTACATATTTTTTTATATGAAAATTGTTGGCAAATGGAGGAGAGGAGATTTAGGGAGTTTAACCATCATAAATCTTTCGTAAAAATTAATTACATTTTTCGTGGTTATTAAGGTGCTTCCAAAGGTGCTTATGGACTTATAAATAATCAAGGGTCAGTTGGGACCCCTAAATATATTTTTATTCAAATATTTTTTAAGTTCAGTGTTATTTCATTATATAGATCAAATATAGTGGTGAAAATAATCATCAATGCCATAATCAACAAAAACGCGCGTGTATTAAAATTATATAATGATGCTTTGCTTGCATTATTAAATGTTGTGGATAATGATGACATTATGTGGTTTAATGTATTAAAAAATTTAGCGCTTACTTTAATTGTTAAACAAGTTTTAATTAAAAATTCTAAGTATAAGTATGACGTTATGAATATTTACCGCGTTTTGTTCCGTAATTTGCTACTTATACCTTTATATATTTTAGTAAAAACGTTTTCTTTATAAGATTCTAACACAAATATTATTCATTTCAGGGGCGGATCCAGGATTTTTTGGTGCTTGAGTTAAATAACTTTTAGGTAAGTTCTAAACTCCAAACTTTTTTAAGTTCATAGTTTAGTCGTTTAAGGATGATTTGCCCAAAATTACCCGCCCAAATGTGGGGGATTTGGTTTTTCTAAATATAAACTTTAATATCCTAAACTAGGTGGTAATATCGTTAAGGTTGTAAATTTTTATTGAAAAATTTTATGTTGTTTAGAAATTGTACCAGTTTGTACCATTTGTACCAATTATACCAATTGTACAGTTTAAATTTACAACCCCTCGTTTTGAGGGGGTTCTAAACTTTAAATGGCTCTAACTTTTAAACGCTAGATGATTTTTCGATCATACTTTAAATATAGATACACATTTGAATTTTATTAAAAAAGTAACTTTTTTTTAAAAAAACCATTTCTCTTCTCATATGGGCGGGTGATGCCTGCTATTTAGGGAACTTTCGTTCCCAGGCTCTAATCAACGCAATTTTTGGCAAAGCATTTTCAAATGACATAAATATGAACATGAAAAGTTTGAAGTTTAGAACTTACCTTAAAACTCACGCACCAAAAAATCCTGGATCCCCCCTTGCATTTAACCTTTGCAATTAAAAAAATAGGGTTTCATTTGTCTTCTAACTTGGAATAAAGTTATATTCTTTCCTCATAATCTATCTACAGTTTGTGTTGGTATAGTATATCAACACTAGTCTTTCATTCGAAACGGAACTACTATTACTTTTTCATTGTACATTTAGTTTACATTTTAATAACCTTTTTTTAAAAACGATCAATTATGCTGACGCAAAATGAAATATTATTTTGAGTTAAATTTACTAAAATGTAAAGCTCACTTAAGAAACTTTACTTTATTCAAGTTACACCTTGGTAAATAATTTTTTAGTTAAACAATCGAAAGAGAAACTTCAAGACGAATATTTTAAATATCAGATTTTAAATACAGGTTTTAGAAACAGATACTTAGAGTAAACAGTTTTAAAAAGAAACAAGGTACAAGTGTCAATTTAGGAATGATATTTATTATTATTATTATTATTATTATTATTATTATTATTATTATTATTATTATTATATAGTAATTGCTATTTAAATAAAAATAATTTTTAGATTTAAGAGACGTTAATATAAATCGCAGAAAAAATGGTGGTTTTAGTACTTTTACCAAGTTTAACGATAATACGATATAACTTCGATGAATATGAAAATTAAATATCTTTAAGCAAAAAAGATACTTTTGGACATTTCTAAGAAGGAAAAGCAAGAAAATTGATTGGTTTATATTACCATAGATAAGGACTGTTTATTGAATATTATTAAATTAGATGGCTGTTAAAAAAAACGATAATCAACCTTTAAAGGAAAATGAAGAATTTGCAAAACATAATCATAATTATATGGTATTTGAAGTTGGTCTGCATGGATGGAAAAAGTGTTTTCTATTTATAGTTATTCTTACGACACTAATTTTAGCTCTGATAAACACAGCGCTTATTGTATGGATAATAAGAGTTCAAGATTTTGGGCTGGTACACAACTTTTATTTAAATTTAAAACAAACTGTCATTATATTTTGTATTAAAAAATAAGGAATGTTACCAATGCTTATGAAGTTATTTTTGTTTTTAATTTTTAGAATGGTATGGGGAAACTTCGCATTTCAAGTAATGGTTTAAGAATGGATGGCACAGCCGAATTCATGGCTCATTTAAGATCAAAATATATATCATCAAGAAACGTAAAAAGAATTTGACCATTTATTTTTTTTTAATTATTATTATTATTTTTTTTATGTACCAACTTTTGTTTTTTGTAAAGGACGCACCTCTCCGAATAAATTCTCGAAGAAACATTTCACTTAGTGCAATCGATCTGCAAAATAATGTCGTTGGACAAATAACGTTAAGTAGCAAAGCAATCATAATGAAAAACAAAGAACTGCATATACAAGATCAAAACGGACGAACGCTTCTCTATGCAGATGACAAAAAAATAAAAATGGACTTAGACAACGTAAAGTTTATAGGTAAGTATTTCTATTAAAACTATTCGTAACTTTTTACTTAATATTTTTATTTCAGCGCAAAACACTGCAAAATATTCTTGTTTTATTTAACTAATTTTAGTAAGGGTGTAACTTGATAGGGCAGACATAGGTTTCATAGCGAAAAAGTTAGATACAAACAAGTATATTTGTTTTATACTTTAAAATTTTAATTCTAACAAATAGGGATGGCTCTTTTACTTACTTTTTTTTACTATACTTTTACTTATATTTTTTATTTACACTTTTGTTAACTTTTTTACTTTAAATTTTTGAAAATGTTATTTCTATATGATGAAATAACATCAAGACACTTTTCTTCACAAGCGACAATTTGAAAGTGTGCTTTTTGAACCACCCTGCCAAAATCGCTATATTAAATAAACTAAAATAAGCAGCTGTTGAGGTTATAAAAAGTTATAATTTCTTTTTAAGTAAATTACTTTTATTTTTTTAACTTTAATTTTTTTTTTTTATTAATCTTGATGTTATCTAAATCAGCTGTTTAAAAGTTTTTTTTCAAAAATCTGGTTTACTGCTCTTTCTTTGGAAATGGTTCTACATTTGGTAATTTAATCTAAATTTTGTATTTTGGCTTCTTTCATTCAGCGTGGTTGTTGTTAAAAACCAATCTAACCAAAATGAAAGTTATTTCTGGAAATGACTAACTGGATTAATTGTTGTCTGGAATAGACTAATTGAAATTAGTTTATTCCGAACATTAATAGCTATTAATAAATAAACAAACAAAAAAATTATTATTTTCATTTCTTTTAGAGTGGTAGTTACAACCAGGGCCAACCAAACAAGCTTTGAAAAGGAATTTAAATGCCTTTTCAAAGCTTTTTTGCAAAAAATCTTTCTTTCTAAAAAGTTATAAACCCCAAATGTAAAGAAAAACAAAAAGTTAGAGAAAAAAATAAGGATACGACCCCCCTTGCCCAGGAAACAAATTTAACATGCATGTTCATTTGGACTTCACAAATACTTTCAAGATAAAGTAAAATCAAAGTGAAGTCTGAAAGATAAAGTAAAATAATAAAAAAAAGAGATTTAAAAAAGTGGAGTTCTCCAGTTGGCTCTGAAAACAATTTTGAGATGTACTTTTGTTAAACTTACACAAATGCTGGAAGTTTCAGAGCTCTAGCTTGTCTGGAAGGTAATAATTAATTGCAAGATTCCGGGACAACTGCTAACCGACAAACAACTTGTGAAGTCAAACTAAAATTTGAAAGATAATTACAAATTTATTCTAAAACCCTATTTTAATTGAATAAGATTTTATTTTTCTAATCATCCTTGTGCGGGTTGGACACCGACGCAACAAAAAAGAGATTATTAGGGTGCCCACAACCTATAGTAAAAGATTGAACAGCTTTCCTTACCATCTTTTTTCAATTAGATTATATATGATAAAGCGCAATAAAAGATTATAACTGATATACACTCCTTTAATCATATAAATTATATCAGATAGTTTAAATGACATAATTTTTTGAAAACTGTTTTAGCAGTCTATGTCCTTAGAAATAAAAATCTTCTTTTTGTTTATTGTGTAAATGTCCGTTCTTAGTTACCTTTAATATTGCATTATTCCTTAATCACTGGTAATACAATACTTTTACAATACTCGTCTGCATAATCATAGTCATAAGAAAGAGTCTGGCCACTTGCGGTATTTCTTTGATCAAATTTTGTTCACACTTTTTCAGTGTCCATTTGTTAGCGCTTGTTTATTTATAAACTACTTTGTGAAATTGCATGTTCTTCATCCAATACTTCGAATTCCTGCTGGTAATTGTTCTATTTTTGGCAGCAGTACTTCTGGGAGACTTTAGGAGTTTCCATATTTAAAACTCCTGCTTCTAACGATGACTTTATTTTTTATTAGTTCTTGAAGGAAAAATGTAGAAGCAATTATTTCTAGAAATTGTATTGAAACTTTAATATAGCTTTAAAAAAGTACTATAATCTGGATGATATCGATTACTGAAAAAGTTTCTACCATCGTTTAAAGGATGGTTTAAAGAGTTTATAAATCACATAATTGCTAAAAAGGATGGTTTGATAATATCCAGTAGTTTTTTTAAGCATAAATATATCACATTTGAAGAATTTACAAATCGCATTTAGAAGGTAAAGAAATCTCATTGGACCATTAGTGAGAGTAGTTATATACTTCAAATTCAAAATGGTAGAATTTAAAGTATATAACTCAAAAAAAAAAAAAAAAAACTCTTTGATATAAAATATATGCTGTTATCATTTGAGAGCAACAATGATGCCCCAGATTTGAGAGCAACAATGAAATACTTTTGTACTATTTTCAACTAGACTTATATTTATTGATAAATTTTAAATTTCATAGTAAAATATATTAGTGTTCAAAAATTATGACCATACAAAGTTTTAACCCCCCTCAATTCGAGGGGGTTGCAAATTTTATATAGTCGTAATTTTTGAACGCTGAGAGATTATACTATGAAACTTAAAATTTATCGATGAATATAAGTCTAGTTGAGAATCATACAAAAAATATTTCATCAACTTGTTGCTCTCACGTTTGGGAAAAGGGGCGAAAATATTAGGACTTTTTTGTTCCCAGCGTCCAATCGTTGCAATTTTTTGCAAATCCTCATTATTTGACATAACTATAAGCATATAAATGTTTGGAGTTTGCTCCATTTCTGGAAGTTAGATATCTCAAAGATCAAAAAATTCTCGATCCGCCCCGGTTACAAAGCAACATAGAGATGTACATATACATGCACAGTATACACACAGAACAACGTTTGGCATATCTTAGCCCTCTAAACTTATACATGTTGTTACCTTGTTCAACCTTTCTACCGATTCAACTAATGTCGTTGCATTAAAATTAAAAGCTTATATTATACATTGTATTTCAAAAATGTTCGATTTTTAATCATTTAGTGGTGAGTCTCCCTTGAGTAAAACTGTATATATATATAATGTAAAAACTTGCATAAGAAAATAAAAGTGTTACATTAATGGGTGACTTCAACATTAATCTTCCTAAATATCAAAACTTGCCCAAAATATTATTTTTCGTTAATAATATGTGCTCAAATGCTTTTTTTCCCTTATATTTCATTACCAACGAGAGTCAATTTAAATTTAAAACTCTTATCGATAACATTTTCATTAATTTTCACTCTAACAACATTATATCAAGTAACCTAATAACTTCCATTATAGATCATTTAGCACAACTTGTACAAATCCAAAGTTTTCAATTCAAATATATAACAGAAAAGATATAAAGAAGGTGTTATTAAAGGTTCAACCATGATGCTTTTCTAGATGATGTTAAGAGTATTCCTTAAAACCGATTAATAAAAGAAAAAGATGACCCTAATCAATGTGTTAAATTATTCATGCAAAATTTAGAAAATATTCTTAATATACATGCGCTATTAAAACCTCTTACAAAAAGGTAATTTAAATCTAAAAGTAAGCCGTGGATAACTCGAGGCATTTTGAAGTCAATTAAGATAAAAGATGAACTGTACGCAAAATTTCTTAACCATTTGTCAACTATAATAAAAGAAAAAACATTAAATTTACTTAAAGCATACAGAAATAAAATCAGTAATTTATTAAAAATAGTTAAAATAAATTTTATTCAACTTTCTTCGAAAACAATTAACTCAATATGAAAATAAACGGAAAGGAATTAGAGAAATAATTAATATTCTTCTCACCAAATTACAATACGATGATGTTCGTGGAATTCCACTTAAATGGTTTGAATCTTGCTTAAATAATAAACTTCAATACGTTAAAGTTAAGGAAACATCTTCATTAACCAAACTTAGGGAGTCTATAATTTTAATATATCATTAACCAAATAATTCTATAATTTTATCATATCATTAACCATAATTAGGGAGTCTATAATTTTAACCTATAATTTCGGAAGTCCCTCAAGGGTCAGTATTAGGGCCTTTGCTTTTTTTGCATACATCAATAAATTAAACACCTGCTTTAATTATGTTTTGACTTACCATTTTGCCGATGACACTAACCTGTTAACTGTTGAAGATTCGCTTGAAAAAATGAAGTTAAAAACTAATGATGTTATATTTTCTGTTATTAATTGGCTTAAAGCAAATAAAATTTCACAAAACACTAAAAAAACTAAAATAGTTGTCTTTTAAACAATAAAACAAGAAACAATGCACTTTAAATATTTTGTTTTATGTCAAGATAACTTGAGGTTAGTATTTCAGTTTACAATTCAGTTTACAATTATAGCCAGATTTTTTTAAAGCTTCTTTATAAGGTGGGATAGCACTGACATGTCAGATAGTCTGAATTCAACAGTGTGAGGGAGTCTTTTCATAATACTAGGCGAGTGGTTTGAATCAGAGTGAACATAGTTCAGCTCATTGTCGCGTTTGTTAAGTAATATTGTTTATCAAGCTACTGTGATTGATAAAAATTCTAATTCTAAAGAAAAAGAAAAAGTATATTTCAGTATTAGTGAGACACCATTCAAGCTTAGATACGTAAATCATTTAAAATCTTTACTGCCGTGAAATACAGAAATAATACCGAGTTTTCTCAGGAGACTTGGAACTTAAAAGAAAAAAATCATAAAACACACAATAAAGAGGAAAATTATAAAACGCTGTAAACCTATCAAAACCACATCCAAAATTTGTAACCTCTGCCTTCATGTGAGATTCATAATTTTATATCATAAAGAAAACAACCTGCTAAATAAAAAAGACGAAAAATTATCTAAATATCGACTTTCCAACAAATTTCTTCTATGCTCTTTTGATACCGTAAACTAAATAGTTATTTATCTTTTATTACGTCAGAAGTCGTTCTACTGTAATTTTTAATTCATTTGTAAGAGTTTGTTTTTTTAAACGGTTTTTATATATATAAAAAACGGTTTATATATACATATATATATATACATATATATATATATATATATATATATATAT